TCCCTTCCTCTCTCTCTAAAAATCAATAAAGAAAAAAAAAACTTTTTAATAAAAGAAAGTGCATGAAAAATTACTGAAAGGAAAAATACCAAAATGCAAATAGTTATTTTGGGGCAGCAAGACTCTAGGTGTTTTCTTTTTCTAAATTTGCTAATATCTTATACATCTTCTACAAATTAATATAACCAGGAAGTATGTGTTGCTAATTTATCTTAAAAAACCCATTCTCCATTTCCCAATACCTTGAGCACCTGGAGGACCATTAAGGCATAATTACCTCATGCCAGGCTACACCAGGAAGGCTTTGCTATCACAGCCCTGCCCACACAACTTCACTGGAGTGCCAAGTTTCCTGCAAGTCCCTGCTTCTCAAAGACTGCACATCAGATTCACCTACAGAGCTTAAACACACACCTGCCCAAACTAGAAGGGGGTGTGGGAAAAGGGAAGTCAAAATCAAGTCTAAAGTTTTACACCTGAAAAAGAAGGCTGAGTCTGTCATTTACCAAAATGAGGCAAGATGCAAGGGAACAGGTGCAGCAGAGTGGGAAGAAAGAAAATGAGGTGCAGACCCACCCTGTTCCTCAGGGAACACCTGTCCAGTAGGCAGCTGGGTGCCCGAGTCGGGAGTTCAGAGATGTGGTCCCGGGTGGAGACACATGCGGGGGGCTGTCAGCATAGGCATGACATGCAACGCCTCGAGTCCAGCCGAGAGGGTGACCACAGACAGAGAAGCACCCAGAGGTGCTCCCAGCAAAGGAAACTGAAAAGGAGGAGGAGTGTGGTGACCTGAGAGCAAGGTCACCGAGCAGAGAACTGGCAGTCACTTTAAGAACTTGATTTCAGAGACCCGTGCTTCATGCTGCAAAAGCTCTCTAGGAGGGCTGCACCCACCTCTGCTTCACAACACTTGTCACAGCAGCAAGTATTTATCATTTGTTTAAATCTGTCTGTCCCTGATCCGTGGTAAGTTCCAACCAAGGCAGGGGCAGTCAGTCTTGCCCTTCACTATAATCCTGGAAGGGGTCCACACAGTGGCTCAAATTTATGGAACAAATGGAAGGACCACAGAACCCAAGGAGGATGGTCCTTCTTAATTCATAAGGCGGAAGACTGCATCTGAGACAGCAACACCACTGAGCCAATGCGTCCAGAGCCCCACTCCCCAGGCCAGCAGACCTGAAGGCAGCCACCTTCAAATACAGTCTCCCGGCTTCATCCCCAAGAGCATATCCAGCTCACAGTCGCCGAAATGCGTACATGCTGCATGCTGGGCCCTTTATTTAACCCGCTATGGCACGAATGGCTATGTTCCTCCCACCATCCGACCTTCCCTGCCTGCGTAACAGCGGTTCCTACATGTCAGCATGCGTCAGAAGCACCTGGAGCATTTGTCAGAGCACAGCTTGCTGTCTCAGCCCGTTTGTTCAGTGTGTAAAGGGCAAGGCCATTAACCTGTTTCTAACAAATGCCCAGGTGATGATGGTGTCAGTCTGGGGACCACACTTTGAGGACCACTGCTTTAATGTGATTCACACAGCTACCCTTGGTCATTTTTTTCCTCTAGTAAGAAACTCTCTCTGAAATTGTAATGTAAGCTGATAGAGAATAACTTTTCAAAATTTTTATGAAATTTGAAAGGATAACTAAAAGGAACTTTCAACATTTCCAAAAAATGGCAGCCACGTATGTATAAGGCTCAAGCCAAGAGAATCTGGCCAGTCGGAATGAAGGCAGATGGGGCAAAGTACCCTGGGGAAACCACATATAGTACCCAGGCCATGTACTGGACCTATTTATTAACTAAAAGTCACGACAGGCCACTCTACTAACTCTGGGCCACATGCTGTGCTAAACATGAGGCAAAAACATCTCTCACACATACTCTCTTAATTTATAAGAACCCAGTGAGTAGGAATCACAACCCCTGTTCTGCAGATGAGGAAACTGAGAAGTAACTGGCCCAAGGACATATGAAAAAGAAGAGGTGAAGCAGCCCTGGCTGGTGTGGGTCAATGGTCGGAGCATCGGCCCATGAACCAAAGGGTCTCTGGTTCGATTCCAGATCAAGGGCACATACCCAGGTTGCAGGTTTGATCCCCAGCCCCAGTTTGGGGACATGTGGGAGAAAAACAATCGATGTTTCTCTCTTTCTCTCCCCCTCCCTCCCTTCCACTCTCTCTAACTATCAATAAGAAAAAAAAATCCTTGGGTGATGATTAACCAAAAAAAAACGGAAAAGAGAAGAGGTAAAGCTGGAAATCAAATCCAAGCCTGCAAGTCCGAAGGTCCTGGCGGGTGTGCACAGCTGCCCCGCAGCTCAATCACAGGGCTCCCAGAGGCGAGCCGACCCAACCGGCTCTGTGTTCCTAGTGCCGGCAGAGACCAGCCCTCACGTGGCAGTGTCTGCTAAACAAGCGAATGACGGGATCTAGGTAGGGCTCAGGTTCATTCTCACTCGTTCACTTCCTGTGACCACGGAGACTTGTCACAGGACAGAAACGATAACAGCAAACACTTCCCAGCACTCAAGACACCCAGTGCTGTTCTTAGCACATGAAGAATCTTCACTCATTACATCTCACCTCAGAGGCAGGTACTCTATTCTCCACATTTCAGGGAGGAGGAAAATGAGGTTCAAAAAGGTTAAGTAACTTGCTCAAAGTTGGCCAACTGTGGCAGAGCCGGGACACAAAGCCCGGTGTCTGACTCCACCGTCTGTGTTCTTAAGTCATGATGTGAGTAATACGAACAAGGCAGAGCAAAGGGATGGAGCACCTCAGGATGCTTTCACTCACTGCAGCTGTCTCACCACTTGGGATCACAAGCCTAGGCAGACTCCAGCCCTGGGCTCTCTAGTGTGTGAGCTGACGTCTGTGACAGTCAGCCAGCTTGAGCCTGGTGCCCAGAAGCTTCCCCACAGTGGCAGGTCACGGCTCTGGGTCCCCCTCGGGCCTTGCCAGCTTGGGGGAGGGAGAGAAGGGATGAGAGGGCTAGCTACACAAAGCACAAGCAAACAGAACGCAGCAGGATTGTATGACTCAGGCAAGTACAATTATTCATTATTGATGGTTGAAGCCAGACGCTCCCCTTCCCTGCAGTGTTGTGTTACCACGTAATTAGCTGACCTGTTCATTTCTGTTCACAGAAGTCCTTTAAGTTAAAGAACATATTCATGCTCACCTTAAAAAAATTATGACAAAGGTAGCAAAGAAATTTAAACATGACGCAAATAATATTAAGAATAAATCTATTTAGTATGATAGTTACTTTTTTGAAAGTGTGGATTTCTTTTAAAATATTTAAACTGGCTACTTAGTTTAAGAAATTTATCACTGAGTTTTGCAAACTCACCATCATATTTTAATTTCACGCTATTTTAATAAGCCTACACAATAAGTGATCCAAATTTAAAATGTAACAATCTATAAAAACGAATTCTAACACTGATTTATTTTCTGAGTCTCCTAGGCCTAGACAATAGCTATAGGGAATGTTAGACCACATTCAAAATAAATTTAATTTGACAAGGCATAAAAACGGTGCAAATCATCTTTGCTACTCAAGCCAAAACCCCAGCATGTGTTCACAGCCTCGCCCTGCACACCTCACGCCTGTACCCAACATGTTTCATACTCAAGGGGCCATCCTCAGCACCCCCACAACTGCCACAGCCCTGAGCAGACACCACTCTCTCTCACCTGGACTAGTCCAAGAGCCACGTTCTAGCCAGGATGACCTCATCATTCTGTACATAGGTCAGAGCCTTCAGGCCAGAGACAGGTCACAGGCACACGGCATTACACCGGCCCCATGGAGAGCCCCCTCTCTGCCTCCTGGGCTCATGCGGCCCCTTCCTGCACAGGGGCAGAGGAGCAGTGGGGTCGACTGCCTGGGCTGAACTCCAGCTCTGACACTCACCAGCTGTACAAGTCACTCGGCCTGTCTCAGTGCTTCCTGGTACAATGAGGACAACAACAGTATCTTCTTCATAAGGCTGATTCAAATTTTAAATGAACTAGAAACCCAAGTGCTGACTCATTTAAAATTAGCACAAGTGGTCACTCAGTACATGATCCATCCCCATTACTATTAATTCTCTGTCACACCTTTACACTCAACCTCCTGTGTGGCCTTGCTGGCAGGCCCTGCCACCTGCCCCATGCCACTGAGCTGCACTGGAATCACTTCCCCCCAGAGGACGCTACTGAGCAAGGTGCTGGGTCATTTCTCCAACCCCAGTGCAGAGCACCAGGGCCCACTTTAATAGATCCCCAAGTGTTCACTGAACAGTCAATGAATAAGAAACTGAGGTTGGAGGGGTGAGGCTGCTGGAGGCAGTGTCACGCCACAGCAGGCTGCTAGGATGGCTGGTGGTAAAAGCCAGCCCCCCACCTTGCTCTGTCCCTGGGTCCCTGTGCGAGCCTTCTCCTTGAAAAGAGGAGCATAAGCCTCCAGCTACTGGCATCTCCCCTCCACGGGGAGCCCGTGGTGATGAGATACCACAGGCCTGGTCGACCCTGAATCCTATCCTGGCACACAGGTGGGCAGCTTCAGAGCCAGCAAGGGGAAGGGGTCATTACAAGCCTAGGTGAACAAGGCCCTGGCCTTCCTGGCCAGAGTGGAACCGGAAGGATTCAGTTCTAGGAAACCCAGGGATCAGAGGGGGAGCCTGCTTCACTACCAAACACAGTTATCACAAATCAACAATAAACACATTTGAAACTATTACTAGAAAAAAAATGATTAAGTTAAATCAAGTCATAAACATCTAAAGCCCAGGCAGCCCCACTGAACACCCCTATTTGCATGCTGCAACTTTAAGAGATGATGAAGGTTAGAGTCATCGGCATACTGAAGACAGACTTAAATTTTAGGAACTTGGCATGCAGATTAATACAAAGTTTCCCAGTGTCAAAGTCTCCAAAATAGTCATTTTTGAAAGTTCATAAGCATATGCTATACAGCAGTATTCATGTTTGTTTGTTTCTCTTGTATACCTTTTGCATTTTCTTTGACTCTTTCTGATCATTCTCTCGGAGTGGTATTTTTCCAAATAACTTCCATCCCAAGTCATTTTGTTTGTCAGGTCTTGCATTTTGTTTTCTAGCAAGCAAATTCCTACAGAAAGAAAATGAAAGGGTTAGGGAATTTCTGGGTGTTTACAGAAACATTAGGAGAGTGGAGTCACACTCTGATGGAAGGAAGTCTGAAGCAGACTTCCTGTGACAGAACAATGCTGTGACCCACAAACTTCAATTTTTCAGACTGATTTTCATAGAGACAGAATTATGCAGCAGGTAAAAAGACCCTGACCTCAAGTAAGCTTTTTGTTATTCACTGTTACATAAACAATTTCTATAATTTAGAGTAAAAAAATGTATTACGTAACAAAGTGTATCAGAAAAAGTGAGCTCTGAAGCCAGACCAAAGTGAGCTGAAACTCTGGCTCAACCATTCACTAGCTGTGTGACTCTCTGACCAGTATTAACCTCTCTGAACCTCAGTTTCCTTATGTTTAACAGGAATTAAAATTTGTAGGAATAAAAATTACAGGTATAGCCCTGGCCAGTTTGGCTCAGCAATTACAACGTTGGCTCCAGGAGCAAAGAGTCGCGGGTTCGATTCAAGTCAAGGGCACGTACCTCAGCTGAGGTTCGGTCCCTGGCCCTGATCAGGGTCATACGGGAGGCAACCAATAGATGTGTCTCTCTCACATCAATGTTTCTCTCTCTCCCTCTCTTCTCAATTCTCTCTTTCTTTTTTTCTTCCTCCCTCTCTCCTTCCCTCCCTCCCAGTCTATCTAAGGTTAAATGGAACAGTATCCTCAGGTAAGGATTTAAAAAGAAAAAAATTTACAATGCTTAAAGAAAGGCTGTTGTTGGTTTTTTTATCCTCACCCAAGAACATTTTTGCATTCATCTTCAGATAGATCGGGAGGGAGGGAGGGAGGAAAAGAGAGAGAAACATCGGTGTGAGAGAGACAAATCAACTGGCTGCCACCCACACGACCCCAACTGGGGCCAGGGACAAACTGCAACCGAGGTACGTGCCCCTAGTGGGAACGGAACCCAGGATTCTCTGGTCCCCAGGCTGACACTCTAACCACTGAGCCAAACCGGCCAGGGCAAAGAACAGCTGTTTTAGTGCTTAACCTCTATAGTTTAGTTTAAATTATCTATAAGGTAACTCTGTATTACCTATTTACAGAGTCTCCAAGCATCATAAAAAGAAAGCCACTCATGAGACTGTCACAAGGTCTTCTCTCCAACAACATGTGAACACAAGACCCAAATAACACAAATAAATCCCAAATGGAAGTACAAAATAAGCTATGTTTTGGAACGCACTGTATAGGTAGGTGTATTCATTAAAAACAAGTGGCTTCCAGGGTTCACTGGAAAATATAAGAAAGCAGCATCTTATGTGCCAGAAAGTAGCAAAGTGCTCAAAGGAAGATGGGGACATGTCAAACGGAAACAGTTGCCAGTTTGAAAGCTCCCACTGGCTACATCTGAAACAATTTAATCATCAAAATAAATAATGAGAACAAGGGATTATAATCCTTTGAATGAGATAGAAATGCAGAGCACATATGGATACAAATAAATAAACATTAATAAACAGAGGAGGAAGGAGAGCTACCTAGTAAGTATAGAAAGACTGATGGAGTTAGGAAATGATCACTGGAAAAAATATCCTTGGGTGAGGATTAACAACAATAAAAAGGAAAAGGAAACGAATGGTTTCATTATATTCTTCCTTGCTTTTCTGTGGTGGTGACGTTGGAATCCAATTCAGAAATGATTTCACAGTCCAAGGCAATTTCTACTTCCAGGGTAAGAAATAAACTGCGATTTCTCCAGGCCCAACCTGTTTAACATCTAAGCTTCTGGTGAAAGACTTACTCCATTAAAACCAGGCCAAAACCTCGAGCACCCAGACAATACGAAGGCTTGGGCATCCAGACCTTGGTTCTCTAGGGGTTTACATTCTGCTAAAGGGGAGCTGCTCTGAGAAAGGGGACTGGGCACAAGAATCAAACACACCAGGAAGGGGAGGTTAGGAGTGAGGGGTACACCTCCTGAGGAACCTCGACCTTGGCTAGAGAGATGGGAGTTGCTGAGGGTCTAGAGGGTAGGAATGGAATAAAGAACCGCACAGTAGTGACTGGGTGGGAATAAGTTCTGTGGTCTGGGAGGCCAAGTGTAAATGGGGGACTCTATTGCTAAGAGTAGACCAGCAGGAGAACCAGCAGGAACAGAAACCTAATGTACAAACGTAAGTTTGTACAAAGGTCGTGCAGATAAAACTTAATCAAAAATCAAAGTTTCATAGTTATTTTTAGCCTAAGAGCTTAACTATACATGCATGATAGGCCATGACTTTTGAAAGGTTCACAAGAGGTGTTTTTGTATATATTATTTTTTGTGGCCAAGAGGCGGAAGTCACTACAAGTTATCAGGAGCTCTCAGCAGAAAGGAATCCCTCCCTTGCTTCAGCTGTCTGAGTCATGGGGGTGCCTGGTTCCGGCGCAGGGAGCCAGTCAGGAAAAGGTTTGAGCCGCCTGCCCCCCTTTCAGGTCAGGAGGTCACCAGAAGCCTGGCAGGGAGCTGGCTGATGGGCCCAGGTGGCCAGGTGGAGCCCAGGACCTGCCTCTGCCCATTACATGACTAAATCCCATTCTGGAGCCAGGTGCAGAGAGAGAACACATACAAGGCAGGGTGAGCCCGTTAGCTCCCACCTCATCCCTTTAAAACCTGTGCTGTCTTCCTCACCCGGTGACTCTCAAGGGCACCCTTTATGACCCGCACACACGTGGTGTAGCTCATCCCAGTCCAGGAGAGACCAGAGGGAAGGCAGCCTTCAGTCCCTCTGGCTGTCTCTTCGCGCGCCTTGTGCCACAGTGAGTCCAACCTTGGATCCTAAGGCGCCTTAAACATTCTTGTATCGCTAGAGAAGGCAGTGCCACAGCCACCACCTCGGATTCTTCGCCGGGGGCAGGACACAGGAACTACTCGATACAAGCTTCCTGTGTTATTAGCTATTTCCAATTCACCTGTCCCACTGCCAGCTCCTGTAAGCCTTCATGTCTGTCCTGTGTTAGCAGACACTCTGGACTTACTCTTCTCTGCAAAGCTTCCCTGACTGGCAGCCACAGCCCGGCCCCCAGGCCTGGGTTTCCAGAGTGCTCACCATGTTATTTTGTGCTTGCTGGCGGTACCCTGTCCCCTCTCCACCCCACACGCCTTTCCACAGGGGTGGGTTCCCAGAACCCTACCCAGCATGCAGAGCGCTCAACACCTGTGTGCTGGCCCATGGAACAGCCACCACGTGTCTGCAGGGGAGGCAGGTGCAGAGCAGTGAGGAGACGGGACTACCTGAGGCCAGTGCCGGGGGCCACCTCCAAGGGCAGCCCTTGTACACACACTGCGAGTGGGCAGAACTCGACTCCAGACTAGCCTCCTTTTTCCAAGACGCCCACTCAAATCCACCCTCCTACAGCCGCCAGGAGGGGTGTAAGTGACAGGTGAAGAGGAAGCCCCCAAGGACTCTTCCAAAGACAGATGAGATGACAACCACTTCCCCTAAGAGGCTAATAACCGCGGCGCTCAAAGCCTCCAGGAGCCTTGCCCGAGAGCAGCCTGCACACAGGAGACAGTGGAGACGCTCTCGACAACCCACCAGGCCTCGTTCACTCCACAACTTTTTTCTGAGGGCCTCCAAACCCAAGAATATGTTTACTGATTTCAGACAGAGTGAAAGGGGGAGAGAGAGAGAAACATCGAGGTAAGGGAAACTTCTACTGGTTACCTCCCATATGTACCCCAACCGAGGATCGAACCCTCAACCTTTTGGTATCTGGGACAATGCTCCAACCAACCGACCCACCTGGCCAGGGCAGCCTTTACTATATTGGACAACAAAAAAGGGGCAGGCTTATGTGCACAGAAACCTTCAGTCTCTCCTGAGGCTAACTCCAAACCCTCGTTCTGGTTGGGCTAGGGGCTGGCCCCACTGCCCAGCCATCCTCCTCGTGCCTTCTGGAGCCTACACACCTCCTGGCTGACTCGCCAGCCCCGCCACACCTGTGCTTGCCCACCCTCTCCTTGGCTGTCCCTCGGGCACAGGTCCACAGTCTGTCAAACCCTGGCCCTGCAGAACTCGGACTGCATCTATCTGCCACTACAGCACTCTCCTCTCCACAGTAGTCAGGGCCACCTCCTGAGAACACGGACAGACCACCCCAGCCCTGTCCCCAAATCCCTTCAACAGCTGCCACCTGTTCATGCACCAGGGCGCACACTGCTCCCTCTGCCCTCCCTCAGAGTGCACCCGGAAGAGGAGACACGTGCCTCCCTCATAGGGCACTACAACGGACCTTCCAGGCCCCCCTCGTGCTTGGCACACATACTCAGCCCACAAGACAGCAGCTGACATCAATCACTCGCAGGGCATTTCTCCACTAGGCAACGGGGAGCAGGGGAGAGGGGAGTGTCTGTCCTCAAGCTCAACCCTCCAACTGGGCCATCGCCCCCCACGACAGAAGGCAGGAGTGATCTGAGGAGAGAGGCAAGGTTTACAAGGAAGATGGGCTGAAGGGAGGTGGCCCCGCAGGTGCTGACCCCACCAGGGACCTGTTGACAATGCCTATCCAGATTCCCTTAACAACAATGCTGAAGAGGCCTTGGGAAATACGTTTTGCACTGTCAATGGGTAAGCCACACCCAACTACAAGGGAAAAGACTAACCCTGACAGACTGAGGGAGGCAGAGAACTTAGGCAGGAAAAGGGAGCCAGGGTTTCACCCGGCATTTATCCCAGGGCTTGCAAAATAGTTATTTTCATCTCAACAGATAACTCAGAGGAAAACATATGAGATGCCAGTGTGGACATAAAGGGCTCTATATAATAAACCTAACAAGCCCGGGGACTGAAAGTAACCTCACAGGGTGATCCGATCACAAATCCTTAACTGGGCAGGTCATGGTGGTGGGTAGTTCCACCCCAGACATATAACGACTTCAGTAAAAGGTTTACTTTGCTTTTAACCAGCCCTGTCTGTTGTTTCTGTGCTTCTAGGCTAACACCTTTGAAATGCTGCTTCTGCAGATTCTTAG